GGGCCCTACAGTCCTCGCTGTGCCTTAGCAGCTCCGTGCAGGGACGTTGTCCTCCGGGCTGGGTGTGCAGATACGGGGTCTAGACCGTCCCTTTTTTTCCTTCTTGGTTTGCGTCCGTGTGGGTGTGTCATGCTGGCCCTCTCCAACCTGTAGATTAAGTGTTGTTCCTTGTCAAGCACACTTCTAGGGAGGGGTCAGTTTGGCTCTGGTTGGGGCCGGCCCTCTAGCCCAATCTTTTCATGCATTTCTCCGCGTGGTCACGTTGCCCTCATGGTTTGGTGTGCTGTGGGGAGGTCTGTCTGCACACTCCCGATTCTGTGGAGACATAACCAGTACTCTCCACCTGGGTGGGTTAGTGCCCTGTGCCCCCCATGCCATCATCTCCCCTGCCCCTTTTATCGTGCCCCCTTCCCCACTTTCCCCTTTTTCATGTGTTGTGTGGGGTTCGCCTCAGCCCTGCTTGCTTGGGACAGGATGATGATAACTAGTATCATCTCATCCGAAATCCCCGACCTGCTAAGGGGCTTGCCCTTGCTTCTCCCTGAGGCAGCGTTTTGTTGCCTGTGCCCTGACACATGATAATGGGTTAGGGTGACCTCCACATAGCTCCCCTTCGTTCCAGGGAAGTCAGCGCAAGCCCGCTGCTCTGTCAGCTGCAGAAGGCAGGCCCTGAGGGTGGTGCGGTGCCCAAAACAGCTGCTCACGCTCTCCCCTCCTCTTCCCAGGGTCTCTGGGAAGCTTATCCAGAGTGTGCCTTCGGTCATGTGGTCTCAGTGGGCAGCTTGGTAGCTGCCCCTCGGGAACAGGGTGGGGTCAGTTAGGTCAAGTGTGCCCACGATGGCTGCCAGCTCATGGCTAGACTGGAAGTAGAACCGAAAGACGGTTCTAAAAGATCTCGGCTGGTTTGTAATTGGAACCTATAAAAAATGCTGAGCGACTCAAAGGCCAATTTAATTTTTTGGGCGGGGGTGGGCCTGTGAAAAGCAGGGAGTGGTGGATTTGGAGTGCTATTTTTAACTCTAAATGGAGATTTTCATAGGACAGTAGCCCTCCACCTCCTCTCTTATATGCAGAAGGATACATTCCGAGACCCCCAATGGATGCCTGAAACCGTGGAGTACCAAACCCTGTATATACTGGATTTTATGCTATACAGACATACCAATGCTCAAGCGTAATTTATCAGTTCTGCACAAGAAATGATGAACAGCAATTGTGAATGGACTGGCCTCTAACCGCCATCGAGGCGATTCCAGCTCGTGGAGGTGTGGCTTTTTGAGGCTGTCAATGTTTGCGGGAACAGAAAGCCTCATCTTTCACCTGCTGAGCGGCTAGTCGTTTCAAACTGCCAGTCTTGCAGCTGGTGCTTTTCAGACGGTGAATAACCCAAACCTCGGAGAACAAAACCCAGGAATTGAGAGTGTGGCTTGAGGGGGACTGCTGCAGTCGCCTGCAGTCTGTTGGTGTTACAGCTTGTATCCAGAGTGTCTTCAGTAGGACATTTTGAGTGGTCGTCTTTCCATCTTTGGCTGTCACCTTTAAAAAAACAACAACAAACATTTGACTTTTCTTTTGTCTCTGAAATGGGAACACAGATTATGAACTCTGAGAAGGGAAAAAAATGTATGGTTTTAAGTGCGTATGCTTGTTGATGGAACATTATTTTCTAAAATACTTAGTTTTTTTTATGGAGGCTGGCTGCTGAAGGTCTGTGTTTCTTCAAGTCTTTTTTTTCTTTAATCGATTTAAATGATTCTGCAAAGTACTTTTGCTCAGTGGGAAGATTCTAGCACCCATGTAAGTCTAGAGACTGGTAGGAAAGGGGAACTCGCTGTGTGCTGGATCTGAAGTGGCTTCCCATTTTGTACATCCTTTGCAGTCCCCACCTTCTCTCTTAGGTCTTACTGGCCTCTACCTCCTGGTCCCCTGACGTTGGATCACCCGAGCAGGTGGCCGGCCCTTCTGGTCCATCCTGCTGAAAAGGAGAGGGTGAAGAACAAGCAGCCTAAAACTATAGCCACAAGTTGTGCTGCACCTTTGCCAATGCTCAGTTGATTGACACAGTGCAGTGCTGTAGAGAAGCTTGCTTCACGTTCTCGCTTGCCTCGGAGGCCATTTCACACATGGGTTCTTTAATGTGGCTCTCTCACCAGTCTCTAACTCCCTCCAGACGACCTTGTCCTGCATGCGTCTGGTATGAAGGTGGGGGAAGATCCTGATAAGATTCACCTATGAATAATTGCAAATGGGATTCCCTGAAGTGCCAAATGAGCCCTCTGAGACGCAGGAGGAGGAATCTCATTACCAGCAAGAGCCTGGAGTGAAGTGCATCCTCTGGGGCCGAGATCCTTGTGCAGTGAACCTCCTGGATCCAGATGCCAGCTGTTCCTTCAGAGGAGCAGCAGCAGAACCAGGAGCCAGAGCAGGGGCAGGGTGGACTTCCAACCCACAGAGCAAGTGAAGCTTTGTGCAGGAGGCTGGCTTGCAGAGTAGGGTGCCTCTGGGGAAATTGGACTCACTAAGGCATTGAAGGGGAGTTGAGTGCTTTTGGATTGAAGCTTACTGGAGTAGGGTGCTCTGGGCACCTAATTTAGGGAGCTGGATTTGCTGATCCATGGTGCTTAAGCTGAATGCTTTGGGGTCGAGGCTTACATCCCGGTGGTATGTCCTTTGGGCATTTGTTAGCAGACTCAGCAATACTCTGTATGTCCTGATAAACAACTCAACCCTTAGCATTTCTCACTGGCATTACAACTTGTAAATTCCTTACTAAACCCTTTAATTGGATATTTTGGACAGTGTAAGACACGACAAAATAATAATAATTTATAAATTACAAAGGGTTCATGAGGGGTGGGGAGTAAGGGAGGGGAATGAGGAGCTGATACCAAGGGCTCAAGTAGAAAGCAACTGTTTTGAGAATGATGGTGGCAAAAAATGTACAAATGTGCTTGACACAATGAATGTATGTGTGGATTGTGATAAGAGTTGTATGAGCCCCCAATAAAATGATTTAAAAATAAAATAAAATAAGCCCTTTAATCATGCATTTTGTTCATGAGTTTCTGTGTAGCATCATAAGGGTTATTAGAACCCAGAGAGACCGAGTAGAGAAGTAGACACTGTAGAAACTGGAGAGGTAAAACAGATAAAGTGTAGACAGCATAGTGTCCATTCTGGGAGCACCCTTGGAGCCACACTGTGTAAAGAGCGCTGTTTCTGGGTGTGTGCTGGAGGAGAGAGTTGTGTGCGAGCCTCTTGTTGATGGGGTGCCTCTTCAGTAAGGGGCTGGCGACGGATAATGCCTTGAGGGTCTTATGTTGGGTCCCTTTCCTTGTCTTCCACTTATATTGCCATACAGACAGCCAGGTTTTGTTCTCTCACCGTTCCTTGGAGCAGAGGTAGGGTAGTATGATTTGCTTGGTTTCCTTCTAGAGAACCCAGAACCCAGAGCTGATGGCTCTTGGGTCCGTGACTCTCCTTTCCAGCCACAGCTGACTTCCCAGGGGGGTTATACATTGTTGTTATTTGCTTTCTTGTATGCTCTCTGGTAAACATATTGTACCCTCTTGTGATCCTTTAAAAAGAAAAAAAAAAACACTCAAGGTGAAAAGGTATCACCATGTTGGATTTTATTAAAAACAAAGTTATTCACGGGTAAGTTTTCTCCTTTCTCTTGTAAGTCATAGAAGTATGAGATTTCAGGGAGTTGTTGTGTTGGGTGTTTTGACCCGTTTTGCTGCTGGTGGCATTTCTACAGACCCCAGAGGCCACGCCCCTTTAGGTCTGTTTGTAGCTGTGTACTAGTGCTTTTGGTTCCCCACTGGACAGATTGAGGAGTGTAAAATGCTCAAGCCGAGCAGCCTTGGCCAACTGACTTTGCTTATCTTTCTCCCTCCTACCCAGGATGGTGACCGAGACATCTTTATTGATGGCGTCATTGCTCGGAATCGAGCCTTGAATGGAGACCTGGTGGCGGTGCAGCTGCTTCCTGAGGAGCAGTGGAAGGTGAGTGACGTCGTCCTTCCTAAGGTAGACTGTGCAGGGCCTTGTGCCCAATGTGGCGCATCAAAGACACATCGCACCCTTAGGTGTTGTCTCAGAAGCCGTTGAATGCTGAAGACTCCAAGGCTCTGCTGGGTAGATATTTGGGTTGTCCTGGCTCTCTGCCTTTCCCATCTGTCTTTCTTGTCAACATTCTTTGTGACAAATTCCGAGGCTCTTGAGAGTAGAAGTCTTGTCTTTCTCCCATGGAGCATTTGGTGGGTTCAAATGACTGCCTTTTGGGTTCACAGCCCCATGAGTACTCCATCCCCCTGCCCCCTCTTGGGGCTCCTTGAATTGAAGAGGAGGCTCATAGAAAGACTTGGGAGCAGAATGGCCAAAACGAAGGACGACCGAGTTGAAGGACTTGTGTAGCCTAATTTCAAGACTTTCTACAAGGCTCTGATCATCAAGAGGATGTGGTACTAGGGTCAAGGTGGACATGCAGAGCCTTGAAACAGAACAGGAACCCAGAGATAGCCCCGCAGATATGATTAACTGATGTTCTACAAAGGTACTGTGCTAATTCGGCGAGGAAAGGAAACTACCCCCATCCTTCCCCCAGCCCCCTCTGTGCCCAATAAATGCTTTGAAATAATTGAGTACCCATATGAAAAAAAGTGAGCCCGAATTCTTATATCACATACAGAATGAGTGTGTAATGGATCATAGATCTAAGTGTGTATGTGAAAAACATAAACTTCCTAGAAGAAAATATAGGAGGAACATTTAGTGGCTTTATATTTGGCTGAACTTCTTTAAGTATAACATAAAAAGCATGAAACATTTAAAAAAGCAATTATCGATAGACTGGACTTTTTTTTTAATGGGCTCAGTTACAAAAATGAACAGGCAAGCCACTGTCTCGGAGAAACTATTTGAAAAACATCTATCGGACCAAGGACTCTTACCTAGACTATGTAAAGAATTCATGACTCATTAATAAGAAGACAAACAACTCAGTTAAAAGTGCATTAAGTCCTGGACACTTTTTAAACCAGAATATATGGATGGCAAACAAACACATGGAAAGATGCTGGCCATAATTAGTCCTTAAGGACATATACACCACAGGCCCACTGGACTGGCCAAACCTGGAAAGGTTTCATGCTGGTCTTGTTGGGAGACCATCTCGGCAGTGCTGGAAATAACATGTTGGAGCCACAGCTCTCATAGGCTGCTGGTGTGAACGTTACATGGTCTAGGCACTTTGGCAGTTTCTTAAAAAGTTACACGTTCACTTAACATGTGACTCAGCCATTCCATGCTTAAGTATTTCCCGAGCGAAAGGTAAGCCCTTGTGCACACAAAGTCTGGTACATGCATGGCTGTGGCAGCTGTATTTACAATAGCCCCAAGCAGCAGCTCCCCACGTGCCCACCACCAAGTGAATGGAAAAGCAAACTGTACGTGCAGCCAGTGGGTGTTTTAACTCAACAATGAAAACGATTATAGTATTGACCCATGAGAGAACATGGATGGACGTCAGAAAAATTATGGGTAAAAGAGACCAGACAGACTCGGGTGTACAGTCAGGTGGGCAGAGGGGAAGAGAAGCTTGGGAGGTCAGCTGGGATTCCGGAGCTCGGGGACAGACGCCTTCTCCTGGGGAGGCTTGCAGAGCACAGCTGAGAGTTGCTAAGTGTTCCGTCGATGAGAAAGATGGGTGCCTCAGGAGATCTGTTTTAGAATGAGGACCCATTCTGTCCACCAGTATTTACTGGTCTTTGCTCCAACTTAATCTTGTTAAAATGCAGACTGGAATTCTTTAGTTCCATGGTGGAGCCTGGACCTGTGTGGCTTTAAGAAGCCTTC